TATGTTTTTATTATAACCAATCACAGGATTTTTGTACGTGTGTTAGTGCAAAGTCGGTGTGGCATAGAAAAATTCGCAGTGTTGACGAATATCGCGTAAATACTTTTATACGTTAGAGCAAGTAATTACATTAATTACTTTTATTAGAACATTTTCTTTCATAGGCCATTTCTATTTACAATAAATAATGTACGCCAGTTCGTATGCGCCTTTCCTGGATACGATCCTGAAAAGGGCCCAGGCACTTTTAGCCGTTGATACACTGTTGGCGCTAATAAAAACATGGCGGAAAATTGAGAACGCCCAGATCAAAGGTGCCGACAGAGAGTGGGCATACTGGTTATACTGTGGTAGAACCACGTAGCCTTGTAACGATACGGACGCGAATTTTAAGAACATTGACTCGTATCTCTAGTTCATAAGCTCATTAATTTATTTTTTTATATTTCATTCTCTGACCATGGTTATATATTTTATTTATATTATACACAACTATTTATATTTCATCCTTTGACCATGGCTATTTACTGTAATTATACTATACATTTTTAATATTATTTTATATTGATGTAACTAAACCAGGCGCTGAAGAAGGTACTGTGATGCCGAAACGTTCGCCAAAAATTATATACTATATAAATAATTGAATTATTTTTTACTTTCACCTTCTATCGCTCGTGTGTTATTGGCCTTTTATCCTTGTTCATTTGTTTTTACAAGAAAACGAGCGGATTTTACCAATTTAATTCATATTCTTAAAATTGTTTACGACTGGTACCGGCGATTTGAAGTAAGCATGGGCAGCTTCAAAGCGAAAACACCATTGCTGTCATGCTGGTCCAGTGTTCTCAACCTAAAAGAAGGCGTCTATGGTACCAGGGCCGTAAAATTATGGTACATTGGAAAAAATTATGGTACAATTTCGCAGAAAAGTTTTTTTATTTAAATGAGTCATTTAGAGACTGTTTAAGTATAATAGGGAAATGATTAAAAAATATTTAGATGTTAATTCACATATTTTTTTATTGCACAAGTATATGTATGTATATACATACATAAACAATATATAAATATAGTAAAGGATACATTTTAAGAACATCGCGAACTTAAAATTACGTTTTTCATATTGCTTTTCTTATTTTCTAATTAAAAACTCTTAGTCACTCAACATCTTATAAAATAATTCATTTTTAACTGAAAATATCATACTGTTAACGATTATTACTTCTGATGACTAATCCATTTCACAGCAGTTAAATCCGATTAATTATCCATCCAGATCAATTGTGCCTATATCTTCCGCGATTAGGATTTCAAAATCGTTTGATATAATTTTATCGATATTACAAATATCAGTCTCGTACAAATCCGCAATGTTTTTTTTAGACTTATTAGCGTCTTTATTCGGTTTCTTATTTGGGTAAAGTCGGGATTTCGTCATATAACTATATTCATTTGAAGGTTCATATTGAACGCAATTTTTTACCCTTTGTTTGGCCAAAATTAAGCCATTCAACGTTTCGTTAATCATCTTATTTCTAGATTTGGTTTTGATTTGATTTACCGTACTAAAAATACGTTCGCATTCTGCATTGGAATGGGGAAGTGAAATTACATTAAGACAAAACTTTGATAAGTGTTTGAAAGTAAGCCCTTGGTCTCCTTCATCAATACGTCCCAATTTTGCCCAAAAAATATCAACATTTTCTTTAATATTTATGTCTGACGGAAGTTCAAAAAAGGGAAGTGTCCTCCACTCGTCATCAATACTTTGGTATTGTTCTGGAGAAACAATACGAGGTACCGCTTTCATTAACGGTAACAAACTTGGCATTGTTTCCCTTGTTTTTCTTAGAACTGCTTTCGAAGGATTTAAATTTGTTAAATCTTTTAATATTTTATTTTCAAAATCAAATCTTTTTTTTATTTCAGAACAGCCGACTGCAAGAAATTTCGCACACACAATTTTGAAATCAGTTTTTAATGCGAGATTGTTGTGAATTTCGGGTGTGCTTAAAAATGTCATAACTTTAACTCCAAAATACATTTGTTCGAGTAGTAAATGCTTTTCGATATTGAATGGATCAATTTTACTCAAACTCGTGTTTTTAACGTACGAGCTTTGCATGTATGCTTCAAGAAGCTCTTGATAAGCCACGCACATTTTGTCAAAAACTGTAGTAAGTACAACTGAATCAGATTGAAAAAATTCATTGAGTTTGTTAAATTTTGGTAAAACCCATTCAAGAAATAAAAAATAAAGCTTAATGAGCGGATTTTCAAGAGCTTGTACAATATGTTCAACAGAATGCAATCGTGCGATGGAAAGCTGTCCCCTGAAGTATAGTTGTAAGGCTTCCCATTGTTCAACAATACGTGTAACGACAGCGCTTAAAGACAACCAACGAGTCTGTGATGGACGAAGGATTTTATGTGTTTTAAGGTCCAAAAACTGTTGAAACTCTTGAAATTGGTATTGTCTTTTGGCACTGTTTTTAAACTCGTGATATATGTTCCGTGCTAAATCTTCGCACGATCGCGGTAATATTTTGCATGCTTCGCTAGCACAGATATGCAAGGAATGGCAAATACATTTAAAAATAGATATTCCAGGACATAACGTACGGAATCTTGATGCGACGGAGTTGGAGCTACCCATCATTGTATTGCACCCGTCGGATGCAAATCCAATGATATTTTCAAATGAAATATCATGTTTTTTGAAGGAGGTTTGTGTAAGATTGAACAAATGCTCTGCTGTAGCTGCTTCGGCATTAGTGCTCTTCTCAAATACTTGACATAGATCCCAAAATCTACTAACCACTCCTCCTTCCTCCTCATCAAAAAATCTGTAAACAATTTTAAGTATAATACACCCAGAAATTTTTAAATACTGTATTAACTATTTAAAATAAATTTAATAATTTACCTGACCACGACGCACATAGTTTTGACACAAGCAATGTCGGTGGATTCATCTATCAGCACGCTGAATAATGTTGATTTTAATTTGTTTTGCAGATGATTTTTTGAGGCTGCCCCAATCACATTTTTTATGATTGCAACTCCTTTTGTTGCTTTTAAATGCATATTTTGTACAATTTTTGAATCAGGAATACATTCCTTCATCAAAGGTGTTAGATGGTCCAAAACCCGTATGGGTATATTGTGTTCAGTAATTAATGCACATAAACGTATTTCTAATTTGCTTGTTTCCTTACTTATTGTTAAGCTTGGATCGTTAGGATTTTTTGTAAATTCTATTATTTTTGGCTGAAAAAATGTAAGTTTTTTCTTATGGATTTGAGATTTTGAATGATTGTTGATCACTGTTCTGTCCGCCTTCATAATGATATTGCAAAATTTGCATTTGGCTTTCTCGAGGTTGTTGGGAACCCTCTGAAGCCATAGTTTAAATTCCTCTTCCGTGAGCCAAGCATTTCTAAATTTTTGCACGCGACGTATTGTTTTGGTTTTTTTTTTGGGAGGCGTATTTTCGTCCTCCACTTCGGAATCTGAATTCATTCTTTTTCTTTGGTTATTTAACGTGCCTTTAACCTGCCTACGGCTGGTTCTTTTGACACATGAATTCATCTATAAAATATATAGGTTATGTATGATGCCAAGTTATCAAAAATCTAAGTTTTATTATAAAATATTGCTATTGATATGAAATTCTCAAAAAAAATATTTTACATTACTATATAAATATTATTTTTATAAAGTATGTACATACCTAACAACTAATGATCCAAGTTCACGCCATGGATACGTTCGTCGTTCGTCGACGCCTGTCGCTCGGGCTGCGTTCCAAAACGTACAGTAGATTCTATAGGCTCTTTGTGTTACTCTATTTGGTGGAAGACTTAAATGCATTTCAGGTGTCGATCTTTTAGTCGCTCTGTCACCGCGTACGTCATATATTCTTCTGCAATGTCATAGGTCTGCTGTCAATTTTCTCTACAGACAACGGCCGCTCTTTCGTAGTGGGTATAAAGCTCTGAGTACGTCGAATCCTCTCGCCTCCTCTCAAGGGACGCGTCACAATTTGTGCCTCTAGTAAAAGTTGAGCCTCCTCGGCACGTTTCATCTTTTCGCGCGCAGTGCGCAACTCGGAATCCAATTGCTCCCTCTCCGCTTCCAGCTGTTAGAGTCGTAGTTCGGCGTCTGAATGCAAATTAAAAGTGTGGAGAAATTCAAACGATAGAAATCAAGATAAGGGTAAATAAAGTAACTCGTCTATCTTTATGTACCTTGCAGCTGCTGCTCGTTCTTTTTCTGCATCCGTTCAAATTCCATTCTCTTCATCTTCTCCATCTCCAGCAATTCCTGTTGCTCCTGCTGCAATCTTTCCAATTGTTCTCTCTTTTCCCATTCTTCGCGCAATACTCTCGCCTGTAAATTTCGCACTGCAACATTTGCGTATATCTAAATTGTACTAGAAGAGTTAGGAAAAAGGCGCGACGCGCGATAAAAATGAAATACAACGTTACCTATTTCCTCGTCACGTAGAGCCTGTTTTTCTTCTTGCAGCAGTAATTCTAGCTTTTGTTTGACATCTTCCAGTTGTTGAACCTTAGCACCTTCCTCCTTGGACAGAGTTTCCAATTTCCGAGCTTGTATCTCGGCAGCGATTCTAGCCTGCCTTTCGTGTTGTAGTTCCAGCTTGGTCTCCTCTCTCTCCTGTTTAGTAGCCTGGCGGGCAGCGACACGTAGTTAAATAATTGTAAATTAAAGACAGACTTAATACTCCTTTCTACTCACTTGTCGCGAGGATCTCCTTTGATTGGCCAAACTTCTCTGGTAGCCAATTTTCTCGCCCGAATGCTGAATCGCCGTTTGCAATGCCGCGAGCCACTGCAGTCTGCCTTTGTGATCCTCTGCCACTAGCTCTATGCATCTATGTTCGGGGGTGCTAAGCACGAACCTTCTTCTTCTTCTTCTTCTTCTATCCTATGGCTCCTGGCTCTAACGCTGAGCCGACACGGCCACGTCGAACCAATTGTCCTCCAATGTATAAGTCCCCACACTATAGCACACGGCCACGTCGAACCAATAGGCTAAATATGTTAAACAATGCAATGGCCCGGCAACCGGGCCACGCGCGGGATGATGCAATCCCGCAGGATCAAAACAAGCGTCGAGCAGCGAGCCCTGCTTTTTCGGAAGCGTCAGCAGTGGCGTAGAAAATATCTCTTCGTTGATTGGCTGCTGCTCGACGCTTGCCGCTTGCTGCGTGCAGTCTGCACTAGGCTTTAGTGTTACACTTTTACTCAGAGTAGTGTTTTGGAACGCAGCTCAGTGCGTGTTTTCTTTAATTTCTGAACACAATGAAATCTCTGCCATTGAATACATACAAATAGCATAATTCGGGGAAATAAAAAATATAATGGTGACCTCGAGTATCTTAAAATTATGGTATATTTGCGTACGATAATGAAGTGCGATGGTACATGGTACGCTGATATGAAAATATGGTACATGTACCATAATTATGGTACGGTTGAGAACGCTGTGCTGGTCCAAATTTTCGGATGCATCGCGGTATATGAGTAAGGAAATGAAACTTTGGCACTATACAATCTGGATAGAGGCGCTGAAACCGTTGAATGTACAACTCTATCATACGAGCCAACGGGTTAACAGATTCTAGACGAACTTCGTACGCCAAGCAAATATTTAGTATTTGTAAAAGAAGGGAGTGGCACTCCATTCGCTCAGAAATATCTTCTTCTTCCTTGTCTATTGTCCATTCACCAATTAAAAATGGTAAGCTATGAACCAAGGCAATCATCTATGATGCTGTTTGACATAAATGATCGTTTGCATGGAGATGATCTTGTAATATAACTCCAGGTGCGTCCGATTGCAAAGGTCCGTAGTTGAAGTGACTGCGGCGATCGTTGAATTCGTTTAACGTAAAAAGATGTTTCTCTTCTATGCAAAATGTCAACAATTTTCGACAAGCAATTACAGCGATGCCTTCGATCAAGACATGCATCGAGTCTTGAGGTAAACAGGTAGTCACGTCGAAATTCGGTATATCCAATAATGGGCTTCTGTTATTGATACCGTATCGTTTTTTCAAAAAATCGATAGTGTTCTTCGGAACATGGAGTTCACTAATTGCTGCTATATGATCTTCATGAGTTGCATAGTCTCGCAAAATGAAATTGTCTTCTGAGAAATTCGTCTTCCAGTCGTGTTTCGTCGTCATACATTGGCGACATGGACGATAAGCTGATACGGACTCTTTAAAGCCGCCCATCAGCGCAGATGCCAGAGTATCCCCCGCGCAAAATAGAAGTGATCCTTTAAAAACCTTTTTCCCCTGTTCCGTGACATTTACAGTGATTCCTTGGATTTGCAGAGTTATAATATCAGCGATGAATGATTCTAGTATCTTTTGAAGCCCACCTTTTTTCAAATATTCAGTTTTGACGATTGCTAATAATTGGACTGTATTTTGTGTCGATCGTACTTCAGGAGGGATATTCGCAAGAGTCCAGTTGTTACGACGAAATATTTTTCGTCAAACGTCACTATTTGAGAAGCATTAATGATCGCCCACCCGATAGATAGCACAAGCGCGACGCGGCACATAGCACGCGCGCAGCACGTGATCTCATACGTTCTCTATTCTTATTTTCTCAAACTCTACTATTATCGTTTCTGGATACATTATATAAAAATTTGATGATTTCAATGAAATTCTGAAATTTTGAAATTAATATCCTTATAAGCAAGAATTTGATCGTTTGAAGTTTGTATTTATTTTCTAACTAAAATTTGGTTTGGTTTTCCGTCATTATTTTCCAGATGGAAGAAATATGTGGAAAACACCCTGGTACAAAAGTTTACGTTTATAACAATTATACTTATAACAAAGACTCTCGTAATAAGAATTTTCTGCGATGTAGTACTCGTCGATCTTCAAAATGTTCTGGTACTGTGTATATCGATAATTATGGCAAAGTCCATTTACTTCATGGTCATAATCATATTGAGACACCAGAAATAATCGAACAATTTGTTATGAGACAAGAAATGTTGAAACTTTGTCGAGAGACTTGTTTATCGTTGAAAGAAATATTTGATAGTGTTTGCAGAAGGTCAGCATACATCATTAATCATTATAATCAATGTTATTATTTAATACAGTCAAGTGATTATTAATTTGTAATTGTATATGTATCCTGAAACAGCCATAAGATTGTCATACGCAACACTAAAACCTACATTATACCGTGAACGAATCAAACTTCGCACAAGTTTACCGAACGATATGGAAACTCTTGCTTCAAATTTGTCAGCATATTTACCTTTTAAAGAATTTTACAAAGGAAGTGTGACCTGCAGCGATGGAAAGAAAGCATTAATATTTACAAGTAATAAGCTGTTGCAAGAATTGCAAAGATCAACAGAACTTTATGTAGATGGCACATTTAATGTAAGCTCAAATTATATACAGGGTGTTCCGCAATTCGTGACCGAAATTTTAATAACGTATTTCTGAACAAAAAGTAAAACGAAAATCCTAATACGAAAATGTCGAGGCTATAATACTTTTCAAATGGGAAGCATTTATAATAGACAAATCAGGTAGTCTAAAGTTCGCGCCTTCAGGGACGGTACATTGCACAGTGATAAAGGTACTCTTGCATCTTTGCCGATATACCTAAAAAAATTTAAGTAATTATATGTTCAATGATGCTGATATTATTGATTGAGTCATATTTAAACATGAAAAAAAAATTTTAAATAATAAATATGAGAAGTTGTCCACATGAGAAGTTGCCAACTTATGAAATGTCACAGACAATTTATATAGTAAAATATTTTCTTCAATATCGATTTATATTGAGGTTATTTTTTAAATATGCAGATAAGATAGATTTCATATTTTATTCAATTTGGCAATGCCTAATGGAAACATATGTTGATACAAACGTGAAATTTATTAGGAAATCTAGTAACAGTTTTTTTCTATTGAATATTATAGTTCTGTTGTGCTACTATTAATACTATGAGATATTGAATTTGTATAATAACGTTTATTTAAAATTTGTTACAACATATGTTCAAAATGCCCTCCGCCCAATTCTACACAATTCTATAGTATTTCGTACAATTAATAGTAGTACAATAAAAATATAATAATCAATAGAAAAAAAGTTTGTTATTAGATTTGTTAATAAATTTCGCGTTTGTATCAACATAGTTTCCATTAGGCATTGCCGAATTGAATA